GCCGGGGTGGAGGGCGCACGCGGCGGGGCTGGCCGGCTGACCGATCGATCGCTCGACCAGCAGGCGGGCCACATGCAGGAGGCGCTGCCGGCCGACATCGACCGGGGGGGCCGGGTCGCCGAGGCTCTCGAGGGACCCCGGCAGGGAGAGGCCAGCGCTCCAGGGCCCCGAGGCGCTGCCCAGCCCGGGGGGAAGCCCACAAATGGGAGCCGCGGCCCCGAGCGACGCGCCCGCAAGCAGGTCCAACAGGAGATCCGGCATCAGGGCAAAGCAATTGGCCAGGGTGTCCGGATCAAGGGCCACGTCGGCTCGGACACGGTCAGCGGGCACGCGGCGAGCTCGCACGTTGGGCAGGTCGCACTGGCGAGTCTCGCCAGCGGGCCGGTGGAGGCCCAGCTCCCCGGCCCCGAGCGACCCGGGGTCGGCCCAATTGGCGCCCAAGGCCCCCGCCTCGCGGGCCGTGGCCAGGTGCACCGATTGATAGAGATCGCCCAGGAGCAGGGGGTCCGCCGGCAGGCCGGCCCTCGAGCCCATGCCGGCCGGGCTCCCGTCGAGGGCCGCCCCGAAGACCGCCTGGCAGAGGTCATCCGCCGCGGCGGCCGACAGCCGGCAGCATGCAAACAGCAGCCCCGGCACATTGGCCCGGGGAACGTCCGCCGGCAGGGTGGACAGCAGGAACCGGGCCACATGCCGGGCCAGGAAGTCCACCTGCCTGGCGGTGGGCGAAGCCAGCAGGTACCCCAGCGGCCGCCCAGGGAGCCGCGTCAGCGCCGACAGGCCCAGCAAGACAAGCCCTTGGCGAGGCAGCAGGCCCCGGCCCGGGGTCGGATGGGCCCCCTCGGCCAGGCTGACAAAAGTGGCGAAGGCCTGTTGCACACCGTGGCGCCAGGGCCCAGAGCCGGCGCGGCATGACTGAACCAGTGCCACCAACACCGGTGGGAGGGGGGGACTTTCCGACGCCCCAGGCCCCGGGCCCCGGTCGCATTGAGCACAAGACCGCAAGCGGCCGAGGGCCGGCAGCCGCCCGGCGGCGGTGCACCAATGCTCCAGCGGGTCGTTTGCCTCGCCGGCCGAGCCGGCACTCGGCCCGAGCTCGAGCCACAGGTGCCCGAGGAGGTGCCCCGTCAGGAAGAAGGCAACCCGGGCCAGGGGCGATGTGTCGATGTCCTGGATGTGTGGGGGAAGGTCGGGGGCGAGTGGGGTGGCGGTCGGGGCAGGAGGTGAGGCGGGCGGCGGAGGGAAAAGTGGCGAACCGGCTGGCAACAGCACCCCGGGGGCGGGGAGAGAAAGAGGGCGACAGGGCGGGCGGGCGGGCAAGCGAGGAAGCAGGCAGACGCATGACGAACCGGAGATCCTGCCACCTGGCTCGGGTCGCGGGGCGGACAGGCGGCCTGCGCATGGATGAAGCCCAGAAGCTCCACCATCAAAGCGACCTGATCAAAGCCACAGAGGGGGAGAGAGAGAGAGAGAGAAAAGGAGGGGCAGGGCGAGAGGGAGGTGAGAACACAGCGAATGGCCAGCGGAGGAAGGCCTCGCCCGGTAGCAGGGGCTCGAGGGACTGGCCGGGGGCCGGGCGCACCGCCGGTGCCGGGAGCCTGAGAGCACGGTGGAAGTCCACCAATGCAGGCCCAGAGGGCTGGTCGAAGTCCGGCAGGGCCTCAGACAGCAGGCGATCCAGGGCCAGCGGGGCTTGGTGGGGGTGGTCGAAGTCCAGCAGGGCGGGCAGGCGCGCCGGCCAGGGCACCCCCGGCGTGCAGGGGGCCGTGGTCAGCAGCAATCCCGACTCGCCTGCCAAAGGGCCACAAGTGCCGAGGACACATCCTGGTGCGGGGAACTCCAGCAGCCCGACCGACAGGCACCAGGCCAGGGAATCCTGTCCCGCGCAGGCCCGGGCCCAGGGGGAGCAGGAGAGCAGCGAGAAAGGGGCAGGCGGTGGGGAATGGGTCAGTTTCGTGGGCCAGATCCCGGCAGGAGTGCCAGCAGCCGGCCCGGGAGGAGGAAAGCAGCGTACGGAGTACTCGGCAAAGGGCCGGCCCCCGACCAGGGCCGAGAGGTCATGCGTCAGAATGGCCCCCAGAGGCTCGGCCACCGGGGAGCCCGGACCGCCAGCCCCGAGAACCGCGAGGACAGCCCGCGCCAGGCCGCGGGGAGCGGCCAGCGGATCGGCATCCTGGGCGCCGGGGCCCTGGGCCGTCCGCGTTGGCAGGGGCCCCGACCCGACGGCCAGCGCGCCCAGCAGGCGGATCAGATCCCCGGGGCAGGTGGACCGGGCCAGGAGCAAGCCGACCGTGTGCTGATTGAGTGGCCCGGGCGCCGCATCAGGGAGCAGGGAGTCCCGGCGCAAGTCGGCTGCCGGATCGTCGCCGGCCAGCACCCCGAGATGGAGGAGCGCGCACAGCGCACCAGCCAGCTGACGGGCCGGGTCGTGGAGAAGCTCGGCCGAAGAATCTGGCCGGATGGTGTGCGTGTGTGTGTGTGTGTGGGAGGGAGGGGCGAAGGGGGGAGGGGGGAGAGAGGGGGGGTCAGGGCCCGAGAGGCGAGCTCGCGAGATTGGCGGGCCTCCCGGCAGGCGACCGGTGCCCATGCTGAGAGGCAAGAGTGGAGAGGAGGAGCAACGCCAAGAAGAGCACGCACCTGGGCTGCCGGCTTCCGAGCCGTCACCGACGGCAAGACCGAAGCTCAGAGCCAGCACCTGGCGCAGAGCCAGGGTCAGGAGAACCAGCCACTGAACACGCTGGGGCTGGACAAAGCGCCGGAAGGCCGTCTCGGCCGAGCCGTCGGCCGCCGGGAGGACATCCCGCGCCGCATCCCCATACAAGGCCTCCAGGGCCCGAAGCAGGTCCGCCAGCCAGACGGCCGCCGGCAGGTGGGCCGACTGCTCGGCCACGGGGGGCGCCTCGTCGAGCACCATGCTCTCGAAGAGCGAGGCCCGGGAAGTGCCGGAGGTCCTCGGGACCATGCCGCAGGGCGCCTTCGAGGCCAGGGCCTCCAGTTGGACCCCCGGGCCCCATGGGAGGAAGGCCGCCTCCACCACACCGGCCAGGTGCGAGAGGGCCGACAGGGCGGCATTCTTCGTGGAGGGGAAGCCCGCCCGACGAGCCGACCAGCGAGGCGCGCAAGCGTGCTGTAAAGTGAGAAAGGCGTGTGGCAAAAAAAAAGGCAAGAAGACAAAGCAGCAACACCCCCGGCTGCATTGGGCGGCAGCTGGCCAAGAGAGAAGCAGAAAGAGAGAGAAAGCGCGCGCGCGCGCGCGCGCGCGCGTGCGTGGCAGAAGGCCAAACGGAAGGGGCGACAAAGGTCGAGGGCGTACTCGGCGAGCCGGGGCCGGGTGCGCGCTGTGATTGAGCAGCTGGAAGACAAACTCCACAGTGCGCCCGGAGAGATCGAAGTCGGGGGCCCCATCGCCGGACGAGAGCATCACCTGCGGCGGGCAGAAGGTCAGGCAGGCAGGCAGGCAGGCAGGGCGAGAAGGAGGCAGGCCACAAACACCCATGTCCCGAGCAGGGGGCCAGCACGCACCCGAACAAAGGCACCGGCATCGGAGCTGGCCACCGACCGGGCGAACACGGTTCCCAGTGCCCGGCAGGCCAGCTGCTGGACCTGGGCCAGGCGATCGCCCAGCCGGAAGTCCCCCTCGGCCAGCATGCCATCGGCAGGCTCCTGGTCGGTGTCGTCGGCCGCGCGGCCCAAATACCGCGCCGGCGCGCGGGCCAATGACAGCAGGCACGACCGGACAAGCTGCGCACCATCGACCCGCGAGGGGACCCGGCCGTCGGGGGCATTGACCAAGCGCGCGCCGGGTGCCGAGGGGACGCCGGCCAGGAGGGCCGCCCACTCGCCGGGTGGCTGGGGCCGCTGCAGGTGGTCCGCCCCCTGGTCGAAGGCCTCGGCCGCCGATAGGCCCAGCAAGTCCGGCAGGGCCCGATCCCAGGCATGGGAGCAGTCGGCCGCCGGCTGGCCAATCAACAGGCCGCCCGCAGCCGGGCCCGCGTCCGTGTGGGGCTCGGCCCCGGTGTCGGCCTCGGCGTGCAGGCGCTTCCGGTGGCCGGGTGCCATGCCGGCCGCGAGGGACACCCTCCCGGCCAGGCGCCGGTCCCCCAGCTGGGGATCCAGCTGGCAGAGGGGGCCGCTCTCGCGGTCGGCCAAGGGACCAGCATCTGCGGCGGCGGCGGCGGCGGCGGCGGCGGCAGCAGGGCCGGACTCCGTCGCCGGCGAGGCCAGCAAGGCCAGCACCTCCAGGAAGAGGGCCCGGTCGTCGGCCTGGTGGGGCGAGTGAGCGGCCAGGTAGGCCAGCGCCGGGAGAAGCCGCGCCCAAAGGCCCGCATGCCATGTTGGCCGGCCGGCAAAGCCGGCCACCTGGCGCCGGGCCGCATCCAAGCTGGCATCGGCATCGGCCTCGGCCTCGGGCAGGTCCGGCGAGGCGGTCTCGCCGGTGCGGCGCCGCTTGGCCCGCGGGGCCGCGGCGCCCGTGGCACTGCCGAGCAGCTCCATCGTCAGGACCCGGTCAGCGGCCAGAGTCAAGCGCGTCAGGCCCAGGACCAGGCGCCGGCGCAGGGCGAACGTGCGAGCTCCCGGCCCGCCGGTGCCCTCATCCGGGTCGAAGTGGCAAATGGACGCCAGCACCCTCGGCCGCGAAAGGTCCACCCGTAGAGGGAGCATGCCGGCGGTCTCGGCCACGGGCAGCACCAGCAGCATCCGGCCGCCGGCCGCATGCCAGTCCTCGAGAGGCCGGTCGCGCAGGGCCCCGGCCACCTCGGCCCCGGCCGGCAGGACAGGCCCCGGCAGGTGCTCGGCCCCGGGCCCGGCATCGGCCAAGTGGTCCCCCCCGGACACCAGGGACAAGGCCAGCCGTGAAAGGGGGTGGCCGGTCATGGCCGGCCCCAGGCCGGCCGGGCCACCGGCCGGCGGGCCATTTGCCCGGCTCCGGCCCCCGGGCCAAAGGCGCTCCGAGAGCAAGTGCCCGACATTCAATGCCGCCGATGACAGGGAGGAAGTCGGCCCGGCGGCCGCCGCGGCCGGTCCAATGGACGCGAAGGAGCTGAAGGAGGAAAGGTCCCCCACCCCGGCGAGCGTATCCCCGGCGGAGCGCTGGCGGGCCAGGGAAACACCGCGCCCAGGGCCCCCGGCGGCGTGGGTGCCGAAGGGCAGCGAGGCCAGGCTCCCGACAGTGGCCCCATGCGGGCCACCGGGCCACTGTGCCGGGGCCCCCAGGCCGGACGTGGCCCCGAGCCCGGCGTCGGCCGCCCGGAAGAAGCCCCAAGTGGCCGCCCCGCCAAGGCGCCCGATCAGGCGAACAATTCGCCGGACAAGAGCCTCCAGGGACCCGGTCCCGACACCAGGCCGGGTGCGGAAGTGCTCGGCCGACAGGGTCAAGAAGTCGCGCAAGTGCGGCAGCGCAGCGGCCAGCTTGCGCTGCGGGACTGCCGCATCGGAGCCCGGCTGCCCCGCCCCGGTTGCCTGATCAACCCATGCCTCGAGGGCTGCGCGTCACTCGCGTGTGTGCGTGCGTGCGTGCGTGCGTGTGTGTGAGAGAGAGAGAGGAAGAAAGGGTCCGTCGCATGGTGACCCCGGGGGCAGTGTCGAGGGGCGAGGGGAGGGAGGCAAGGGCGCCGGCGAGAGGCCGGGAGCAGCAGGCCGGAGGCATCATGCCACGCACCGTCGAGCGCGCGCGAGGCCAGGACCGCGCCGTCGGCCGACAGCTGGGTCAGAATGGCCACATCGAGGGCCACACACACGGCGTCCACCATGGCCGCCTCCAGGCGGTCGGCCAGCTGCTGCGGGGAGTCCCGGTGGCCATCGCCCGGCTCCCCGACAAGGTGACCCGGATGGCCCGGCCCGGGCCCCGGGGCAAGCAGCGCACTTGCGCAGGGGATGGCCAGCACCAGCTCGACGCACGCGCGTGCCGACTGCAGCCGAAGCTGCAAGGGGCTTGGCCGAGAGCCGGCCTCCGGGGCCTGGGCCGCGTGCTGCTGGCGCGGCCCGCCAGCGTCCGGCGCGCCCGCCCGGGCATCCGACAATGGCGGCCCCTCGGCCGAGGCGGACAATGCCTGGAGCATGCGCCGCTGCGCGGAGAAGACCGCAAAGCGCAGCAGCCAGAGCGTGGCCGCGCGGTCGGCCAAGCAGGACCCACTCGGGCATGGCCCCCCGGCCGATGGCCGCGAGGCCGAGCAGCTGGCCAGCACATGGCTCCGAGTCGGCGAGGACACCGAACAGGCGCAGCCCAAGCAGACCGAGCCACCGGCGCCCTCGGCCTCGGAGCGGCTCGCCGGGAAGTAGCCGGTCAGGGACCCGGCGCGCAGGACCAGCGCCGCCAATACGCGCCCCGTTTCCGGGAGCAGGTCTCCCAGCGCATCGGCCGCCGAGGCGTGCGGCACACGCAACACGGCAGGGCCGCCCACTTGCGGCAGGAACTTGCCTTGCGGAAGGTCGTCACCAGACGGCCCCGCGGACAGGGGGTCCAGCGGCCGGGGAGGCGGATCGCACCCAGCCGCCTGGTCGTCCAGGAGGGCCAAATGGTCGGGCAAAAGGCCGAGCGGCAGCAGCGTGCGCACGAGCCGCGGCAGGTGGGCATTCAGCGGCGCTTCCAGGCGCAGAGTCGCCTCGCCCGGGGGGAAAATCTCTTGGCACAGGCCCGCCGGCAGGGAGACCATCTGCACCGTGTCCCACCCGGCACCCGAAAGAGCCAGCTGGGGGGCCACCAGCCGGGCGTGCGCCGACAGGGCACGCAGCTCGCGCTGGTGGGCCGAGCCCTGGCGCCGGGGACGGTGGCGCACACACCCCGGTGAGGGGGGGGGGGGGCGGGGGGAAGCAAGGCAGGGAGTTAGCGGCATTCTGGGACAGGTATAGGAAGAGAGAGGGGCGGGGGGAGGGGGAGACCCCGGGGGCGAAGGGGGGCGAGGGGCAGGTGCGGGAGTACCGGAGTCGAAGCCGCATCGCCGGGGCCCCCACGCAGGAGACCCTCGAAGGCATCGGCCAGCGACCGGCAATACCGGTCGAAGAGGCACCGCGCGGTGACATCCCACAGCAGGTCCACCACGCTGGCCGGAGCCAGGGAGCCAAATCGCAAGCGGGGCGGCCCGGCAAAGAGCAGCCCCCAGAAGGGGGCGTAGTGGCGCTCGGCCGAGGCATCGCGCATCGCACCATCGATGTGCCCATCGGTGGCCGCGCCCGGGGCCCCTTCTGTCAGGAGAGCCGGAGGTGCAGGGGACATCGGTCAGCAAGAGGCCCCGGCAGGGTGGCCAGAAAGGGGCGGGAGGTCCGCAGGAATGGGGGGGGGGGGGAGGGAGGGGGGGCATACCGTCGGATGAGGCCCCGAGCCGAGCGGCCGACAAGTGCGCCGCCGGCCCAAGCCGCCGGGCCAGGATGGCCAGCGGAGCGCGCGTGCAGCTCAGGGAGTCCTCGCACACACGTCGGCTGAAGGAGGCAAATTCCTCCACACGCGTGCCGACAAGCCGCGAGGCGGCCCCCGCATCCGGGCACTCCGGGGCGGCCGGCGCCCCGGCTGCCACATCGGCCCCGGGGACCGGCGGCACCAGGTCCCCCGGCAGAGACCCATGCAGCAAGTGGTGCAGGAATTCCGCCAGACTCAGGGCCGAGGCGATGCGCCCGGCCCGGGCCAGGGACAATTGGTGCGTCACCACCACCAGGGCCAGCTTGGCCGAGGCAGACAGCAGGCGCCCCGCAAGCAGAGCGTCCTCGCCAGGCCCGGCACCAGGCCCGCCGGGGGCCGTCGGCGCCGGCTCGAAGCGCAGCGGCCGCTGCAGGCGACCAAGGGCCGCCAGACACTCCCCGGCGAAGGGGGCCAAATCCCCGGAGTACCGGTCCCGGGAATTGAGCCACCCACTGAGGGCCGACGTGGCGCCAGATCCTGGGCCAGGGCCGTGCGGCTGGCCGGCCGGGTCGTCCTCCGGCCCGGTGGCCAACTGGCCGCCGCTGGGTTTTTGGCGTCGGCCAGAGGGGAGGCGGGGGGGGGGGGCATTCAGCGGTGAGTCACATCGGGGACGGAGGCCGGCGGGGACATGGCCCCTGGGTGAGCCCCTTCCCGGCGCACCTGAAGAATATTTGCTCCACCTTGCTGAGACTGGCTCGTACGATGGCACGCAAGTCGCCACGGTGAGGAAGCAGCCGGACCGACGCCTCGGCCAGGTAGCCAAAGCCGCTGAGGGCCACGCAAATGAGCCGCACGGAGGAGGCCTGGTTTTCCAGGAGCTCCGAGAACCCGGTGATCAGAACCTTCCATGGAACCGGCGAAAAGTGGCCCAGATCGCCGGCCGTTAGCATGGCGGAAAGGGAGGGAGATGCGGGGCCAAAAGAAAATGCGCGCGCCGAGCCGAAGCGACACCAAGAAAGCCCGAATGGCGAGGCAGACCCCCCCCCCTCCCCCGCGCCCCCGCCCGCTGCGCACCCGGTACACCGCGATGTCCGAGGCGAAGGTGCCGGCCGAGCGCCCAAGCCGACACCCGGCCTCGGCCAGGCAGGAGGCCAGGGCCGCCGAGGCCAACTGGCGGACACGCGCATTCGGATGCCGAACCACAAAGTGCTCCAGCAGCAGCCGGTGCAGGTGGACAATGCGCCCGGTGCCGGCGGCATCCGGCGCCGCCTGGGGCTCATCCTTCACCGCGGCATGGGTCCTGGGGCTTTCCGCCCGCAGGAGCAGATCCCCAAAGAGGGCATGGCTGTGGCGGGCCAGGATGCCAAGCGCGGCACACAGGAGATCCAGGCGCAGGGCGCTGCCGCCGGCGGCCCGGCCGACGCGGGACCGGCCCGGGGCCCCTGGCTCCGTGGTCAGAGTCACATAGTGCACAAGGATGCGGACCACCACCTCGAAGAGCTCCTCCACGCAGTGCACCATGGCCGGGCCGGCCGGGCTGTCGCCGGCCCACGCCCGTGCATCGGCCAAGTCCAGCGCTGCCTCCAGGCTGTGCAAGTCGTCCGGAGAGCCGGCCGCAGAAGTGGCGGCGGCGGCGGCGGCGGCGGCGGCGGCGGCGGCTGATGGATTCCGCCGCGACCGCATGAAGGGCGCCAGCTCGCGCACCAGGTCCGAATGCACACACAGAATGTGATCCAAACAACACAGCGAGGCCACGATGATGGCATGTAGAGGCGTGCGCTTGGAGATTTCCTGTGCGCGGGCGCACCAGCGCCCGGAGGGCAGAGCCAGCAGACGGAGGCAGCATCAGCACATCGCACCCCGGTCGGGAGCCAGGAAGCCAGGGCGGCAATTGACCATGCCCCCCGAGCGACGCACCTCATCAATGGCGTTGATGGCTCGTCGGACCAGGGCCTCGATGCCGGGCGTCGGGAAGCCGAGCGCATACCCCGGCACCGGGGGCCCCGAGCTCTCGGACAGGGGCGCACGACAGAGCACCGGATCCGAGTGATAGCGCACCAGCAGGCCCAGCAATCGCAGTAAATTGGCCAGCGGCCCGGCGGCCAGCGAGGCGGCCGCCTGGAAAAGATGCGCGCGAAGCCTGTGCACCACAGGCGAGGGAGCATGTGGGAGAGGGAGGGACCCGGGCGGGCAGACGATCCGTGTGAGGGGGCTAAGCGGGGAGAAGGGGGCGGGGGGAGGGGGTGGGGGGAGGGGGAGGAGGGAGGGGGCCGAGCCCGACACGAGAGGCTGCCATGCCCGGGTACGCACTCTTCAAAGAGCACCGGCGCGTTGAGGGCCAGCGAGAGGCTGGCATCGCGTTCATCCATGGGCAGCACACCCAGAGCATCATCCTGGTCGAAGTCCATGACATTGTGCAGGGTGGGGAAATCCCCCAGGTGCCGGGCACCGGCCGGCCGACGGCCCGGGCTGACCGCCGGTCCGGCCGAGAAAAAGGCACTTGCACGCACCAGGGCGGCCAGGGGCTCCAGGGCGGCGGCCTGTGCCCGAGAGGACGCCTTGTGCCGGAGGAAGGCACGCTTGCAAACGGACTACCATGGAGGCAGCCGAGGGACCGGGGAGGAGGGGGGGGGGGAGAGGCGCAAACGCAGGGGTTACATTGGGAAGCCAAGCAGAAGAGAGAGAGAGAGAGAAAGAAAGAAAGAGAAAGGGGGGGCGGGGGAGGAGGAGGACACATGGTGGGTGCACGGACAACAATGTGCCCGGCGAAGGGCCGGATCCGGGCCGGGTGGGCCAGGACACAGTGCGACACGATCTGGAAGAGGGTCGGGAAGTGGCTGTCCAGGGGGGACATGTAGCGGGCGGAGGACATGCCGCCCGTGCCTCCGGGGGCCGGGGCCACCCCCACGCCCGGCACGATCGGCGGCAGGAGCAGGCTGAAGAGAGATACCCGGCGAGCAGGGGTGGTCGCACAGTGGCCCGCACGTGCCGGGGGCCCGGACAAGCCGGCCTCCCCTCGGGCAGCGCTGGACAGGGGCGCCCCAGTCAGGGCCGAGAGCGGGGCCAGATCTGTCAGGTTGGTCGAATCCGCAAGGGGACCCTGCTCGGGCGAGCTGTCCACCCAGGGCCCTCGGTCCACGGAGTCCGGCTCCAGGGCAAAGAGCACCGAAAAAAGGTGGGCTATGTTTTGCGTGCCGGGGACGGAGGCAAAGAACCCGGGGGTGAGAGGCGAGCATGGATTGCCCTCGGGGGGGGGGAGGAAAAAAACGGGCGGAGGGGCCTGGTGCGTGTGTGTGTGTGTGTGTGTGTGTGTGTGTGAGGGACATCGTGGGGAGGATCGCGGCGGCGACACGCACAGATGGACTGCTCGTCGGAGGTCGACACGGCCAGCTGGAGCAGCTCCTGGGCCAGGAGCCCGCGATCGGTCGAGGAGAGGGTCGACAGAGGCTGCACCGCCAGGTGGAGCTCCTGCAGCAGGCGGCCGGCCTGCACGGCCACCGGCGAGTCGGCCAAAGATCCCAACCCGGCAGCGGCGGTGGCGGTCACCGCCGCCGGCTCAGGCGCATCAAGTAGCATGGGCTCATCCCGCTGCGGAGGATGATCAGCACCCCACCGCGGAGGGGGGGCCTCGGGCTCGGCCATTGTCAAGGGCAGGCGCGATCTATGCGGAGCAGACTCCCCCACAAGCGGGCCTGGGGCTCACCGATGTCGCGAGGCGTCCGACAAGAGGCCGAGCCGGCAGCAGCCCCAGGCGGGCAAAAGGCGAGGGAGGGCGAAAAAAAGACCCGGAGGCAGGGCGTGCCGGGGGCGTTTCGAGAGAAAGAGGGGCGCGGGTCTGGAGCGGGGGGGGGGGGGGGGAGGATACCTGCCGACCGGGCGGCCCCCGCCGGCCTCCCTTCGGGGACCCTGTTGAAGGCCCCTTCCGCCGGAGCACTCACACTGCCGCGGGCCCCGCACGCTGGCGGCATTAGTTCCTAGCCTTCAGCCGGCCCCCGGCCCCCGGTCGCCGATCGCGAAGCGAGATTTCACACACCGGCACAATGCCCGGTACGGTGGGAGCTCCGGCAGCGCCACCGCGCTAGCTCGCGCCCGTGATCATGATTTTGCACACCTCTCGGGCCGTATTTCGGCCGGGTGCGTGCGGTCCCCCCCGGCCCGCAGAGGGTGCCGTCATGCCCCCCCCCCCCCCCCC